AGGCTCGATGTCTCTGGTAGCGAAGGCCACGTGGAGCACGTCTACCAGGAATGAAAGCGGCATCCGGACCAAACGGAGCCACGGGGAGCATCCCTGGCAGTGACGAGTTAGGGGGAGCGGGGATCAAGACGGATCCAGGGGATCCGCCACCGTGAGATGATCCCGGGGATCCGCCACCATGAGGCGATCCGGGGGAACCGCCACCGTGGGGCGATCCTGAAGATCCACCACCATGAGGTGACCCCCCTCCACCAGATCCGGGAGATCTGCCACCAGGCGACCCCCCTCCACCAGATCCGAGGAGTCCGTCACCACGAGGCGACCCTCTCCCACCATCACTTCCCGATCCGCCGTCACTGTCGACTTGGATCGCGGATCCCGCAGTGTCGCCTCCGGATCCGGCTGTGCCAGCGACTTGTGGAGGCGGCGTCGAGAGGGATCTCCGCCGGGCTTCGGACCGGGATTGGGACAGAGCCCGTCGCGTGTCTTCCTCCAAGGCATCCTCAGCGGCTTGAGCCTCCTCCGAATCCTCTGGACTCCCGTCGTCATCGTCGTCGTCGTCATCGCTCCCATCGCTCAGAGTGAAGGGATACGGGCCGGAAGACGACGTATGCTTCGACGACGATCGGTTAGGAGGCCCTGAGCCGTCAGACCAGTCTGACTCCTCATCCTCGTCGTCCTCCGAGCTGCCAAGTCCACATCCCGGGGGAATAACACGTTTAGCTTTCCCCTTCCCGGGTCCAGCAGGCGGATGGCCGATGGAGGCTGGCCGGGGAACGGCCGGCGTCGTCACCGAAGGACCGGCGGGGGATCCCGTCTTGGACGTAGATCCCGTTTTGGCCGTCGATCCGGACTTGGACACCGCTGATCCTGTTTTGGATGGGGCAACGGATCCAGTCTTGGACGCCGTAGACCCAGTCTTGGGTCCGAATCCAGATTTTGACGTAGCAGCAGTGGATCCAGCCTTGGATCCCACTCCCGCTTTGGACGTAGCGGCAGATCCAGTCTTGGACGCCGAGGTAGACTTGGATCTAGCGGTGGATCCAGACTTGGATCCGGCACCCAACTTCGAGGGGGAAAGCGGAAGTCTTGGACGCGGGTGTAGATCCCGCCTTGGACACCGAAGTGGATCTCGCTTGCGGGCCGATTTAGAAGTGGATCCCGGCTTGCGGAGCCGATTTAGAGACCGGAGTCGTTTTGGCTTTGGTTTTCGGGGAAGCCTCGGGCCTGCTTATGGGGACGGGCGGATCCTGGGGCTAGGAGCGGGAGATGGACTACGCGTGGCCTTTCGCAGCCGACGAATCCGCCCCACTTACAGTCGGAAGAGGAACAGAGACGCTAGCAGCCTGAGAGGGCCCCGACAAGGGGAAAAGTGGATCCGAAACGGCAGCTGTCACCAGCGCCAGTCGCCGACGTGGCGAATCCCCGTCCGACAAGCCACGATCGCGCTCCAGGATCAGCTGTTGCTGCTGAGTTTGGGGCGCGGAGAGTTGATCCTGGAGTTTCGCGGTGGTCGCATCTGCTTCCTCCAATTTGTCACCTAGATTGACAATAACAAGTGAATATGGAGTTACTAGCAAAGGGTAAAAGAGGATCCACGTACTCGTGCGGGGAAGCTTGGATTCCAGCTCCGTTTGCGTACGCTTGGGATCCGCCCACTCGGTAGCCGCCTTGTCTCGCTGGAGATCGCTGTCTCGCCAGGTTTCGCTTGGGATCTCGTCGCGCAATCGAGTCATACGCACGAATTCTTCAAGCGGGTAATCTCGTCCGGCAGACGGCCTCTCGAGCGACTATTGGTGTCTTGCAACTCCTCAGAGAGTTGAGCTAGGGCTACATCCGGCGATGAGGGAGGTGGATTTGGCGCGGGGGACCCTCCACGCGCCGACCCTAAGGCGGATCCGGCATGGGTGGATCCCACATAGTCGGTGGTCACACTCTCCTGGGTCAGACGCAACTCGTCACGAGACGGTCAAGCTCACATCCGCAGCTGCCCTAGCAGTCTGGGAATCTCCAGATCCGCTCGAGGTCGGGGATCCGGGATTGGAGTTGGTGGATCTCAGATCCGGCGAGTGCCATCTCCCTAAGGAGATGGTCGTTGTCATCTCGCATAACGTCTCGTTGACGGGAGGCGCGATCCAGCCGTCCGGTCAGGTCGCGGATCTCGACCGCCTGATCAGCCAACAGGAGTCGCAGGTCCTGCGACCGAGAGGCTGCACGGTGCTCCCATCCCTGGATCTCCATAGCCTGGTCATGGACTTGGGCCCGCAAGGTCTGAAGTTGGGTAGCGTGTAGGGACGCAGCTTGGTCTTGGGCATCTTGAGCCGTCTGGAGCTCCGCCG